GTCCTACGGACGGGCGCAATGGGCCAAACGGATCCGCGCCGCAGTGCGTGAAGCACCGCGCCGCCAGTCCAAGACATGCAAACCGCAGGCTTTGCAGCGAGGACCAGCCTGCTCAGCTTCGAACGAGGAGCCAGCAGCCAACAGGAGGACAGCAGTCGTCCACGCCAGCTGGAATGCGAGGACCGCCCCAGCCGCAGGTGGCCCCATACGTAATGCTTTGCGCAAAGCACCGTGCAAAAATGGCGTCTTTACATGGCCATGCAGCAAGCAGTGCCGCCAGATGAGCACACGGCCATGGGCGAAGTGCACCCGCAGGGCCAGCTGGCATTGCGTGGTGCACTCGCAAATCAACCCGCCCTCTCGTGCCAAGGACGGCGCGAGGGGAGCGCGAGCATCCACCAGCAGCCGTCTGGCTGCTGGTGTGAGCCATACTCAACACGCCGCGCGGAGCGGAGTGCGGAGCCATGAATGAGCAGTAGAGCCTGCGCCCCGAAGCACGGCCTGCGGCCCCTACCCTGCCGTCGGCCCGCCACTGGCGGCGTCGAGGACAGTTCGAGACGGTGTGCGGTGTCAGCCTGTGAGGCGCACTGCACTCGAACTGCACTAGTGGAAGCACCAACACGGCCCTCGGGCTGTTTTGGGGACCCGGACGCCAGCGGCCCCCCGGGAGAGGGGTGTCCTGGTTGTGTCTTGTCTGAGTGCCAGCGCACGCAGCTATCTTAACGGCGTGAGGTCAGCAAGAACCCTCGCGGCGTAGTGCAGTCTGTGAGGGTGTGTGCCTGCACGGATTGCACAAGTAACAAATCACTCCTGTCGGCATTCCTCCGGAACGGGGCGACAGAACACGTGTTATTCCGTAGTCGGGATGACCACAAATCGTCAGGGCACTCAAGAAGAGGCCAGCCGGCACTTCGAGCTGCGCTCGACATGGGGATGCGCACAGTCAATATGTCAATGCGCGCCGCGCGAGCGAGTCTAAAGACTCGGTCGCGAACTTTCCGAGAAGGAAGACAAGTGGGGCGGCGGCGTCGACAGATATCGACGCCGCCGTCGCCGCGCATCATGACGAGTTCGCATTCCCCATGTGACCCTCTATACCTCACCTTCGAGACAAGCCAGGGTTCAACCCAATGGACCTAGTGTGGCGTCGAGGCCCGCACTGTCTGGACATGCGGGCCGCGGCTGACAGAACGGCGGGCTAGGCATTGAGAGCCCAGGAGTTTTAATTCGCACAGAGGGCACGCGAGGTACGACCGTGCCCGGCCGTGCTATTAAAGCGACTCGGCTCTCTAACAGGCTGCAGCCCAGAGCCACACGGAGTCTACGCGCATCGCTTGTGCATAGCCTCGACCAATCTCCTGTTCACGGTGCAACCGTGAACAAAGAGCTTCTTCGAACCGTTACAAACACGACGCGAGCCGCCCAGCAGGGAGCCTGGGCGACTCGCTTTGACCTCCCCCCCCGCCCCACAGTGCGCCAGCGGCGCATTTGGGATGGACACCACACGTCGTCACACCGAGCAGCTCTCTGTCAACGGAAATTTCTCAGTTCTGATGCGTCATCCGGATGGAGCAACTGGCTTTGCTTAGATTGGGAGTCCTTTTGCTATGTGCTCTACGCGGAGAACTATGCCTCTTTTAGCCTCATCCTGCAGGCGATAGCCCAGCCCGCGTGCAGCGGTGGCGGCGACACTTGCAACACGAGCACGCCTCGCTTCGGCGCGCTCGATCCTTCACAACGGGCCGCCCGCAAGGACGCGTGTGCGGCCCTCTCTACTCGACCTGTGCCACGGCGCGGGTCGTTCTAGTCATGCAGCCGCCCCGGCGATCGTGCTCGGGGCGTATCTCAGCACTCACCGCGCGAGACGCGTGGCGTGCCACAAACCAGTAAGCAGCAGCCTTCGCTGCTGCGACTCGAATGCTTCAAACGCGCACCTGTGCTTGCGCACGGCGTGCTCTACACGAGCCCCCCGGCCGCACGAGCGCGTACGGGCGGCTCGAATCCACCCTTCCCCCGCCCTAGCCACTGTTGGCTGGGCGGTGGGCGCCGTCCGCCTTGCGGCGGCGGCGACACTTGCAACACGAGCACACCTCGCTTCGGCGCGCTCGATCCTTCGCAACGGGCGCCCGCAAGGACGCGTGTGCGGCCCTCTCTACTCGGCCTGTGCCACGGCACGGGTCGTTCTAGTCATGCAGCCGCCCCGGCGATCGTGCTGGGGGCGTATCTCAGCACTCACCGCGCGAGATGCGTGGCGTGCCACAAACCAGTAAACAGCAGCCTTCGCTGCTGCGACTCGAATGCTTCAAACGCGCACCTGTGCTTGCGCACGGCGTGCTCTACGCGAGCCTCCCTACCGCACGAGCGTGCGGGCGGCTCGAATTCACCTTTCCCCCGGCGGCGGCGGCGACACTTGCAACACGAGCACACCTCGTTTCGGTATGCTCGATCCTTCACAACGGGCCGCCCGCAAGGACGCGTGTGCGGCCCTCTCTACTCGACCTGTGCCACGGCACGGGTCGCTTTAGTCATGCAGCCGCCCCGGCGATCGTGCTCGGGGCGTATCTCAGCACTCACCGCGCGAGACGCGTGGCGTGCCACAAACCAGTAAGCAGCAGCCTCCGCTGCTGCGACTCGAATGCTTCAAACGCGCACCTGTGCTTGCGCACGTCGTGCTCTACACGAGCCTCCCTACCGCACGAGCGTGCGGGCGGCTCGAATCCACCCTTCCCCCGCCCTAGCCACTGTTGGCTGGGCGGCGGGCGCCGTCCGCCTTGCGGCGGCGGCGACACTTGCAACACGAGCACGCCTCGCTTCGGCGCGCTCGACCCTTCACAACGGGCCGCCCGCAAGGACGCGTGTGCGGCCCTCTCTACTCGACCTGTGCCACGGCACGGGTCGTTCTAGTCATGCAGCCGCCCCGGCGATCGTGCTCGGGGCGTATCTCAGCACTCACCGCGCGAGACGCGTGGCGTGCCACAAACCAGTAAGCAGCAGCCTCCGCTGCTGCGACTCGAATGCTTCAAACGCGCACCTGTGCTTGCGCACGGCGTGCTCTACACGAGCCTCCCGGCCACACGAGCGTGCGGGCGGCTCGAATCCACCTTTCCCCGCCCTACCGACTGTTGGCTGGGCGGCGGGCGCCGTCCGCCTTGCGGCGGCGGCGACACTTGCAACACGAGCACACCTCGCTTCGGCGCGCTCGACCCTTCACAACGGGCCGCCCGCAACGACGCGTGTGCGGCCCTCTCTACTCGACCTGTGCCACGGCACGAGTCGTTCTAGTCATGCGGCCGCCCCGGCGATCGTGCTCGGGGCGTATCTCAGCACTCACCGCGCGAGACGCGTGGCGTGCCACAAACCAGTAAGCAGCAGCCTCCGCTGCTGCGACTCGAATGCTTCAAACGCGCACCTGTGCTTGCGCACGGCGTGCTCTACACAAGCCTCCCTACCGCACGAGCGTGCGGGCGGCTCGAATCCACCCTTCCCCCGCCCTAGCCACTGTTGGCTGGGCGGCGGGCGCCGTCCGCCTTGCGGCGGCGGCGACACTTGCAACACGAGCACACCTCGCTTCGGTGTGCTCGATCCTTCACAACGGGCCGCCCGCAAGGACGCGTGTGCGGCCCTCTCTACTCGACCTGTGCCACGGCGCGGGTCGTTCTAGTCATGCAGCCGCCCCGGCGATCGTGCTCGGTGCGTATCTCAGCACTCACCGCGCGAGATGCGTGGCGTGCCACAAACCAGTAAACAGCAGCCTCCGCTGCTGCGACTCGAATGCTTCAAACGCGCACCTGTGCTTGCGCACGGCGTGCCCTACACGAGCCTCCCTACCGCACGAGCGTGCGGGCGGCTCGAATCCACCCTTCCCCGCCCTAGCCACTGTTGGCTGGGCGGTGGGCGCCGTCCGCCTTGCGGCGGCTGCGACACTTGCAACACGAGCACACCTCGCTTCGGCGCGCTCGACCCTTCACAACGGGCCGCCCGCAAGGACGCGTGTGCGGCCCTCTCTACTCGACCTGTGCCACGGCGCGGGTCGTTCTAGTCATGCAGCCGCCCCGGCGATCGTGCTCGGGGCGTATCTCAGCACTCACCGCGCGAGACGCGTGGCGTGCCACAAACCAGTAAGCAGCAGCCTCCGCTGCTGCGACTCGAATGCTTCAAACGCGCACCTGTGCTTGCGCACGGCGTGCTCTACACGAGCCTCCCTACCGCACGAGCGTGCGGGCGGCTCGAATCCACCTTTCCCCGCCCTAGCCACTGTTGGCTGGGCGGTGGGCGCCGTCCGCCTTGCGGCGGCTGCGACACTTGCAACACGAGCACACCTCGCTTCGGCGCGCTCGACCCTTCACAACGGGCCGCCCGCAAGGACGCGTGTGCGGCCCTCTCTACTCGACCTGTGCCACGGCGCGGGCCGTTCTAGTCATGCAGCCGCCCCGGCGATCGTGCTCGGGGCGTATCTCAGCACTCACCGCGCGAGATGCGTGGCGTGCCACAAACCAGTAAACAGCAGCCTTCGCTGCTGCGACTCGAATGCTTCAAACGCGCACCTGTGCTTGCGCACGGCGTGCTCTACACGAGCCTCCCGGCCACACGAGCGTGCGGGCGGCTCGAATCCACCCTTCCCCCGCCCTAGCCACTGTTGGCTGGGCGGTGGGCGCCGTCCGCCTTGCGGCGGCGGCGACACTTGCAACACGAGCACACCTCACTTCGGCGCGCTCGACCCTTCACAACGGGCCGCCCGCAAGGACGCGTGTGCGGCCCTCTCTACTCGACCTGTGCCACGGCACGGGTCGTTCTAGTCATGCAGCCGCCCCGGCGATCGTGCTCGGGGCGTATCTCATCACTCACCGCGCGAGATGCGTGGCGTGCCACAAATCAGTAAACAGCAGCCTTCGCTGCTGCGACTCGAATGCTTCAAACGCGCACCTGTGCTTGCGCACGGCGTGCTCTACACGAGCCTCCCGGCCACACGAGCGTGCGGGCGGCTCGAATCCACCCTTCCCCCGCCCTAGCCACTGTTGGCTGGGCGGTGGGCGCCGTCCGCCTTGCGGCGGCGGCGACACTTGCAACACGAGCACACCTCGCTCCGGTGTGCTCGATCCTTCACAACGGGCCGCCCGCAAGGACGCGTGTGCGGCCCTCTCTACTCGACCTGTGCCACGGCACGGGTCGTTCTAGTCATGCAGCCGCCCCGGCGATCGTGCTCGGTGCGTATCTCAGCACTCACCGCGCGAGATGCGTGGCGTGCCACAAACCAGTAAACAGCAGCCTCCGCTGCTGCGACTCGAATGCTTCAAACGCGCACCTGTGCTTGCGCACGGCGTGCTCTACACGAGCCTCCCTACCGCACGAGCGTGCGGGCGGCTCGAATCCACCTTTTCCCCGCCCTAGCCACTGTTGGCTGGGCGGCGGGCGCCGTCCGCCTTGTTGCGGCGGCGACACTTGCAACACGAGCACACCTCGCTTCGGCGCGCTCGATCCTTCACAACGGGCCGCCCGCAAGGACGCGTGTGCGGCCCTCTCTACTCGACCTGTGCCACGGCACGGGTCGTTCTAGTCATGCAGCCGCCCCGGCGATCGTGCTCGGGGCGTATCTCAGCACTCACCGCGCGAGACGCGTGGCGTGCCACAAACCAGTAAGCAGCAGCCTCCGCTGCTGCGACTCGAATGCTTCAAACGCGCACCTGTGCTTGCGCACGGCGTGCTTTACACGAGCCCCCGACCGCACGAGCGTGCGGGCGGCTCGAATCCACCCTTCCCCCGCCCTAGCCACTGTTGGCTGGGCGGTGGGTGCCGTCCGCCTTGCGGCGGCGGCGACACTTGCAACACGAGCACACCTCGCTTCGGTGTGCTCGATCCTTCACAACGGGCCGCCCGCAAGGACGCGTGTGCGGCCCTCTCTACTCGACCTGTGCCACGGCACGGGTCGTTCTAGTCATGCAGCCGCCCCGGCGATCGTGCTCGGGGCGTATCTCAGCACTCACCGCGCGAGATGCGTGGCGTGCCACAAACCAGTAAACAGCAGCCTTCGCTGCAGCGACTCGAATGCTTCAAACGCGCACCTGTGCTTGCGCACGGCGTGCTTTACACGAGCCTCCCTACCGCACGAGCGTGCGGGCGGCTCGAATCCACCCTTCCCCCGCCCTAGCCACTGTTGGCTGGGCGGCGGGCGCCGTCCGCCTTGCGGCGGCGGCGACACTTGAAGCGGTCGCGGCGCGTATGCGTCGTACTGTTAGGGCGGCCGGGCCCGAAGACGGCCCGGCCAGGCTCTGCATAAGGCCATCTTCGCCACAACGCGTGGCATTGGTCCAACTACGGCAACCCACAGCGAGGGGGGCCGCTTAGGCGACCTTGCTCACATCAGCTGCATATGCTTCAGTGGTGCAAGGAGGAGTGGAGAGGGACCTTTGACGGTGTCTGGCCCATGCGGGTTGGCACGTACCTAGTTGTGCGCATATGCGTACGCGACCGTTTTGGAGCGCGGGGCGGCGGCGTCGACAGATATCGACGCCGCCGTCGCCGCGCATCATGACGAGTTCGCATTCCCCATGTGACCCTCTATACCTCACCTTCGAGACAAGCCAGGGTTCAACCCAATGGACCTAGTGTGGCGTCGAGGCCCGCACTGTCTGGACATGCGGGCCGCGGCTGACAGAACGGCGGGCTAGGCATTGAGAGCCCAGGAGTTTTAATAGGGGTGTGCGGGGGGTGTAACGCACGCGCCCTCAGCGGAGCTGGGAAGAGGACCGCCGCAAGCGGCGTAGGGGGGGAGCGGTTGTGCATCCCTCCGGGGGCCCATCTGGATCTGCGCCGGGGAGGCGTTGTTGGAGGCTAGGACGCAAGCGTCCGTCGCCCTTTTCAAACTCGGGGCCCACTCCGCTACGCTCCGACCCGAATTTGGAGGGCCTAAAAGTTTAAGGTGTTGCTGCGCAAAAGGGGTCGGACACAGGGCGCAGCTCATGCCAAGAGCTAGAAAGGGGAGATAGAGAGAACAACCATCGATCGGTCACACCGCCATCGCCGTCGGGGAGAGGGGGGACGACACTGCCTCGGCAGCGTGCACCTCGATCCTGCACCGTGTTTGTTATGACCCCCCCCAATGAACACACCAGTGAGGGAGGGCGAGACGATCGGAGGGGTCCCGTACCATGCGGAATCGACCCTATCAAGTGCTCAAGTGCTCAAGAACAACCACCCCTGTCCCGTCATTGCGTACACCAACACCACAAAAGCTCTCTCTCTCCTGCTCCTCACTCAGGGGGGTCACAACTACCGAGTCCCTCGACTAGCTGCCACGTTCAAAACCAGGACGGCGGCAGTGATGCTGCTATCACGGGCATGATCCGTGGAAAGTGGAGAGGGTGGTACGGGATAGTAGAGCAGGCGCTTTGTGGGTGGCGGTGGGCGGCGGCGTTGGGTGGCCGGCCGAATCGTTAGCGGAGCTCCTCCCTCGAGCTCGATCACGCATGACGCACGTTGAGTGACAACATCGGCGAGCTTCTGAATCAGGTTAGGTTGCCAGAGCACCTCCAACTCCTCCTCTGAGTCAGACACGCCAAATGTCGACTGCGCCCTCCTCCTCCCATTCCTCGACTGCGCCCTCCTCCTCCTCCTCCAATTCGCCGACTGCGCCCTCCTCCTCCCTGGGCTCGATCCGATTCCGCAGCGTGTCGTCCCCAGCGGCGGTGCCGCGCGGGAGGCGGCCGCGGGCACGCTGGGCTCGATCAGCGGCTTCCCCTCAAGTTGCTCCGAAAGCAGCCACGGATTTGGCGGACGTTCTTGGTTTCAACTTTACGGATGTCTTGGCACCCGAGGGACCATGTGGAAGACGGCTAGTGCTAGTCCCCCATCGGGAGGACGACCCCGGCTAGTCGCCGACCACACGGCACAAAGAACCCTGCACAATGATCGCACGGGCGGGGACCTGTTCCTTTTTACCCATCTCCTAGTAGAGGTGTCCGTTTTTATTTATTTAGATGAAGGCTTGCACGGCCGAGATCACATGGTTTCGCCACGGTATTCGGATTTTGATATTTGTTCGTGTGGGGGTATATTGCAGACTTGTCAATGGAACCGGCAACCGCGTGCGCGTCTGCGACACGCGGGCGCCTTGACCCTTGTGATATGTGTGTGTGCGTGCAGAGCCCTCTTACGCCTTAGCCCACCCTTTATGTCTTGCGCGGTCATTACTTGCCGTGGGGACCCTGTCGCCTCCTACGAAAGAGTTTTCGGCCCACAACACCCCCTCACACCTCGATCAGTCTAACGATCTTCACCCAACACTCAGACGCCCTTTCCCGATGGCAGCTCTCGCTAGCGCCGACTGCGCGCGTTCACTCCAGTGCACGAGCGCGAGCGCCGCCGAGAAGGCCGCCAGCGGGCTCAATGGGTCGCGGTACTCCAGGGTCGCTCGGTTGGCCCCGCGGCGGCCCGATGTCTGCAGCAGCAAGTTCCCGGAGTCCGTCTTGGGCAGCGAGAGCCGGACCGCTGCGCTCGGCGCCTCCGCAGCCGCACTCCTCGCGACCTGGCCGACAAAGACGAGGAGCCCCTCCGTCTCGCCCCGCCCGTACCGCTGCAGCAGCGTGTCGGAGGGGCCACGCGGCTTGTGCGCCTGAGTCGCGCCGCCACGCTTCGCCGCCGGCACCACCAGCTCCATCGAGTACGGCGCCTCCTCTCCGCCTCGCGCGCCGGACTCGTCCGCCTCGCCCAAAACCTCGACGAAGATGACGGCCGCGAGCTCCTCCTCCTCCCCCACGGGCCCGTCCTCCGGCAGCGGCGCGTCGCGCCGCTCCCTCCGCACGAGCACGCTGCTGCTCGGCCCGCTCAGCCGCACGAGGTGCTCGCTCTTCTCGGCCGCGCCGCCCTCGAGCAGGAGCTCGAACGCGGCCCCGCGCGGGCCCTCACGCAGCACCGCCTCCATCCACGGCAGCCGCGTGTCCTCGTCGAGCAGCATCTCGAAGGTGAGCCGCGGCGCGCCGCCTCGTCGGTCGCCACTCCGCTGCACGAGCGCGCGAACCGGCGCCGAAGCGGCCGAGCTGAGCGACTGCTCGAGCGACTTCATCCGGATCGTCGACCAGTCGCCCGCCGACGGCTGCGCTGCGGGCGCCGAATGCATCTGCTCGAGCTTGGAGCGCATCACGAGCAGGCGGAACTCTTCGTCGCGCGGGTGCACTCGCGACGACTCGCCCGTGACGCCGTTCGAGTAGTAGAGCCTCCCGCCGGGGTCGACCACCTCGCTCCAGCCCTCCGGCAGCGGCTCGGCCGCGGCGGCCTCGGCGATCCACATGAGCTTGGCGTCGCGGACGGGGTGCAAGCCGAGGTAGCTCGCCAGCGCAGTCGCGTCGGCGGGCGTTGGCGCGTCGCGCGGGGCGGGCGGCTGCGGCGGCGAGTACGGCTCCTCGGCGATGGACATTGTGCGGGGCGAGAAGAGGGGCGCCTGCGGCGGCGCACGCGCCTTTTCGGCTGGAGACGACGGCGCGTCGCCAGCGGGCCGGGACGCCGACAGCGAGGTCCGCCCCCGCCCTCGAGACGGCCGCGGCTTCGCCCCGCCGCCGATCAGGCTCGCCACGGCGCCAAAGAAGCCGCCGCCGTCGGCGTTCGGAGGACGGCTGCGCGGCGGCGCGGGGTCCTGGGCTCGAGCAAAGGAGAGCGCGAGCTCTTGGAAGCGCGCCCGGAAGAAGGACGCCTCGTCGCGCGCCTCGCCCTCCCGCTCGACCGCCTGTGCGAGCCGCGCCTCGCCCATCTCGCTCGCCTGCTGCTCCCTCTGCGCGGCGAGCGCTGCCTCGTCACGCCAGTGGCTCACCGCTGTCTGCAGCTCGACCTCGCGCGCGGCGGCAGCGGCTCGCTCCTCGGCTTGCGCCCGCTCCAGCGCCGCGTTCCGCTCCTCCGCCTTTCTCAGCGCGGCCGTCAGCTGCGCGAGCTCAGCCGCCAGTGCCGCCTGCTTGCGTCCCGCCTGGCGCGTGAGCTCCGTGTGGAGCTTGGTCA